ATGCAGGAAAGAGACATCTTCATGCTCATTAGAAGAAACCTGCAAAAACATGTGATGCTGTAAGGCACCAACCCTACTGCATAGCTCGGTTAATCAGCAGGGAGGCAGGCTGCAATCGGATGACTTTCGCTAGCTTGCAGGCATAAGAGAACCGGTAACAGTTATGGGTGAGAAAAGAACACCCCAGTTGCAGACATGTAGCTATGTGCTGTATGTTCAGAATCAGTTGCACATCAAAAGCGAAGGGCTAACTGTTTTAGGCGTGGTGGAAACCTCGCTTGGACTTAATCTAGTAAGAAGCATTTACCTTTGCCGTAGTGCTTCTGTGCAGACAGTATTTTGACTGCCAATTGATTTCCTGTCACCCACAGACAGATGATACCCAGGGAACCCAATGCTAATTTCCCAAAGAAAAGGCTATTCCATAACACACTCATAGAAAGAGAGAGAGTGTGTGTGTTGTGTTGTGTTACTGTACGTGCGATTCAGTAATCTCCATAGTCTCAACAGGATTTCAGTTTGCAACCCGAAAGGGAGGCCCCTTCTGCAAATCAAATGGCCCATGCTATAACAATTAACCTCATCCAGCGCACATTAGATGCAACGTTCCCTCTTAAATGGCAAAGCTCAGATACATGTTGACTTAAATTGCCATATGCTTGCTAAAGCAACAGCTACAGTGGTATATTGGCGGCACGGTAAATTGTTAAGCGAATGTATCTGATCAAGGACATTATTTGAGAAGGCAAGAGTGAGAACAGCTAAATCAATGTCAAGGACATGCTGGTTTCTTTAGACAGCAAGCGTGTCTTTGAAAGGCAAAGACTTTTGATTGGGGTGGGGGGAATGAAATCACTGAATGCCAACTATGTTTCTCTCACCAACATAAATTGGTTCAATAAAAGCTATTCCCTCGCCCACCTTGTCTCACTAAGTGTCTTTCAATGTTCATTGCAGGTAAAACAGTTATTGACAGAAAAGGCTATTTTCTAGTATGTGATGAAATTGAATGAGAGAGCCAGGCATCCAATGCTGGCTCTTTCACCCATTGCCAATCCATTTCTTCCCCAAGGTTCCCATCTGGAGGCCAGGACACCTGAGTCCAAATCCAGCCCTGCCACTAACTCAGTAGTGCCCTGATCCCATGTCCAATTGACGTCAATGGACGAGCTCCCATTGACTTTAATAAGTGTTGGCTGAAACCTTGGATGTGTCATTTAACCACTCTGTGCCTCAGTTTTTCCATCTGTAAAATGGGCATAATACCTGTCCCATTGGTGTGCTGCAATTTACTAAATGAGAAGGCCCAACCGTTAGTCATAAGCATAGTGTACATATGAGGAGTCCCAGTGACTTCATTGGGACACCCTATAGGTGCATGAGTTGAAATTGCTGGATGCAGTTTTTATGAAGCACTTTGAGCTGCTATGATACTAGATGCTGAATGACTGTTAGAAAGGCAACGGCTGATCCAACCTTTAACAAAGATTATACAGCTTCCATCCATGCGTAACCCCTGGGAAAACATGCTCATTAGAATTCTCAAATCCCCTGCCACACCATGGAGCAGGTTCTGTCACCCAGCCTCATCGCGACTAGGCGGTTGGGCTCTGAGAATAAGGTACTGCTCAATGGGACTTTAGGATGCTGACTCTGACCGAGGTATAGCACACCCCTGCATTTCCCTAGCAGGTCTTCTAGGGCAGTAGTTTACAGCCTGTGGTTTGCAGACCCCTGGAAGAGGGGAGCGTGCTGCAGACCACGTCTAAGAGTTCCAAAGGGGGTCCATGCTGCCATTTGAAATTTTTTGGGGGGGGTTCCACAAATAAAAAAAATGTTGAAACCACAGTTCGAGGAGAGTGGGCCCCAAACCGTGGGGGGGGGCATTACCTCCCCACCCCAAATTGGGTGTGTGTGTGTGAGGGGGGAACCGCCCCCAGGAGGGGAAAGGGCCAGTTCACCTGCCAGCCTAGCTCCATCCGGGCTTGGGCTCCCCCCCTCGCTTCCGTCACATCCCTGCTCCCGGTTGTGGCCCAGGCCCTGCTCTCAGCCATGGTTCTGCTCTTGGCCCCGGTCGCGCCTCCACTCCTGGCCTGTGGTGTGGGGGCAGGGCTGCATTCTATTACTGGTAAGGGCAGGGTTTGAGAGGAAAAGTTGGGGGATCACTGTTGTAGGGCAAGGTGACCTAATCTTCATATGACCCAAACAGAATGGCTCCCCCATCCTGTTCACATGAGCCGCCTGGCTCGCCCCCTGTGGATGGCGAAATTGGAACAGTACCATGGGTCTAAAGGTAGGGATGAAGTTGGGGTTTTGTATGTTTTAGTGATGACTCAGCAAAACTGAAGCAGTTTCTATTTGTGGCGCTGTCATCCATGGTATGTCTAGCAGTGAGCAGTAGGTGACGTAAACGAAAATAGACAACTTGGAATTTAGGGTTACGTCATACACTGCTTCTGAGTCATAAGAATGCAAGAGTGTTTCCACACCCTAAATGAGTGGCTCTGCTTTCCCATTATGTAACTCCAAATTCCTGTTTAAAAATAATCTTTTTTAGCTGTCTGGAAGAAGCTTCTCACTTTATATCTCAGCACGACTCAATAGTGATTTATTTCTCCCTATTACTTATAGTGTGGTAGGACCCAGAGGTCTCATACAGGTCTAGCCTGCACAGTGCTAGGCGCTGTACAAACATATAGTAGCTGACAGTCCCTGCCCCAATGAGCACACTTTTTAAAATTATTTAGTAATATTATTAGTCTTTTGATTGCCAGTCTCAATAAAATTCCATGGCCTAGTCTGTCCTCTCCAAATCTAGCCTAGCTATAAATTGCCGGGGTAGGGGCAAAACCAAAATTCTCTCTCATTGACCTAAGAGTGAATTTCAAAAGACATGAGAGCAGTCAGTACAATGTATGCCCTAGGTACGGCTGGCTGGAAATAGATTTGCTGGAAATTTTCAAGCTTTCACAAATTGATCTTGGTCTGCATGGGGCTGAAACTGAGACCTTTTGAAATTTGTCATGGAGAAGCAAGAGAGAGAAACATTATAGCCAATAGCTTCCTGGTTAGGCCGCTCACTTGGAATGCAGGTGACCAGGGTCAATTTGCTGCTCTGAGTCAAGCAGGTCCCAGGTGAGTACTCTAATCACCAGGCTATTAGCTATTCCACTTGCTCTCTTCTCTTCCCGCTCCTTCCCCGATTCCATCCTAGACCTCAGAAACCTTCCCAGACAAAAGGTTTGTTGCACATGACGTGTTTCCATAAACATTTTTGGTTGCAACAAATTGGCAAGGTTGGTCAAACAATTACCCACCCACTCTAGTGCTGGTCTTGCTCTGGAAATGTAGCTATAGCTTGTCACACGCTAATGTTCTCACGTCACCACCACGCAACTGTGGACTCAAAGGTTATGAGGTAAGGTCCCCCCCAAAAAAAGTGACCGATGCCTTAATATTTAGGAGCACAATTTTCAGACAATCTGCCCACCGAAAAATCAAGCCCTTTTACAGTGGCCAATTTGGAACCCCAAATCCCTAATATCTTTTCAAAATATTGGATGATAATCTTTTCTTCCTGTGCATTTGCACAGACTTGAAGGGATTTGTGGTATCTTCACCCATAATTTTACCCCAGTGTGATGCTGATGGCGTCAGTGGAGGTACTCAGCATTTACCCCAGCGTGAGAGCAGAATGTAGAGCAGGGTGAAAGCAATGCATTTAAACTTGTCTGAAAACCAGTATGAGATCAGAAGCAGGTCCCATGTATCTACTGCCATCTAAAGCGAACCAGTGCTGATGTAACCATGTCATGTTGCCAATAGACAGTAGCTTGCATATCAGGCTCTCTATTGTAAAGGAGTAGCACATGGGTGTGTTAAGTCCTGTCCCTAAACCTTCTGTCTGTTGCTCAATCCATAAGTTACTGGTCATCTGAGAAGCTGTCTCCTTAGGCCCCTAGGCCTGCAAGTCATGGTAATTTGATCACTATTGTAGACAAGAAAGAACAGAAATACTAAGGGCTGGTCTACACTGGGGGGTGGGGGGAAGATTGATCTAAGATACGCAACTTCAGCTACACTATTTGCGTAGTTGAAGTCGAAGTATCTTAGTTCGACTTACCTGGCCGCTCTCACGGCGGCAAGTCGACCGCCGCGGCTCCCCCGTCGACTCCGCTTACTCCCCCTGCCGAGGTGGAGTACGGGTGTCGATTCGGGGATCAATTTATTGCATCTAGATGAGACGCGATAAATCGATCCCTGATAGATCGATTACTACCCGCTGATCCGGCGGGTAGTGTAGACGTGGCCTAAGATAAGGAAGAAAACTAGGTTCCCTTAAAAAGAACAAGAGTACTTGTGGCACCTTAGAGACTAAAATTTATTTGAGCATAAGCTTTCATGGGCTACAGCCCACTTCTTCAGATGCATAGAATGGAACATATAGTAAGGAGATATAGTAAGGCTCCCTTAGTTTTTTCTCAGTCTGTCATGGCAAGAGGGACATTTTTTTATTTGTTGGTTGTACTACTACTGGGACAGTGGGAAGTATAGGGGTTATAAACAGTTTGCAGTCTACCAGGCCTGTTGGTTTTTCCCGGGGGCAGCAGGGAGCGAGTGTTAGGAGCCCTACTGAGGAACACAAAGAGCTTAGGATGTGTATCTACTTCATTAGAGCGCCCAGGAACTGATGGCTTTATTTAAGTAACTTTCAGTCCCCTGTAAAAATTGGGTGATTTGGAAAGTAGCTTCATGAGCAAAGGTAGTCTGGTATTACGTAATTGCAGTGGCAAGTGTTTTATGGACAGGGGGTATTTTCATGTGATTTACCTGGGGTACGGACCTGAGACTAACTGAAGAGGGGCCCTCAGAGATGTGCCATATGATGGGTTGTTTCTTCAGGACCAATGATGACTACTAATAGACCTTGAAGTGTATGGGCTGAAAAAAGACCATCCTACTCTCTGACACACTAAACCAAATATACAGCAGAGAGCAGAAAAATTTAAAAGTTTATTAAACATTAAGAAGAACAGACAAAAAGATCTGGGCTGAACAGCATATAGGATGCAATCCAATTCATGACATACATTTAATTTGATCTTACATGTTAAACTTGTATTTAAACAGATGCTGTCTTGTGGTGTTGCCCAAAATACAATGGTTGATCACTTGTAATTTTTAAATATTTTTTTCCCAAGTTTTAAAAAACAAAAATTAAACCACACTTCTCTCTCCAATAAACCACACACAAAAATCATTTTTAAAGTAACATTAATGGCTGACAAACCCACAAAGGCAAGATCATTCAATCCTTAATTCATCCCATTTTGCAGAGGCCTCGATTCAGTGTCTGTGATGTTAGGTAGCATATTGACGCTGCAATAGACAGGCACAGCAGAATGAATTAAGTGTGAAATGTCAGCCCAGAATGTTTTCCTTTAGCTCTGAATTCCTTGATTTTGTGGATTTAAGTCAGCACTTTCATTCCATGATGCTGGTTATTTAAGTGCCAACAGCATCAGAAGACCCCCTAATTCCTAAGGCAATAAAACCTGTATGACTAGAATTGAAATTGAAAATGATTTATTTTTTAAACAGTGGTATTTTTTTAAAGTTGAAATAACTGACTGAAGGGCTACCATAAAGCAAACATTTAGCAAATGCTTATTGTTTACTTATTAGATTTCAGTGGATTATCGTGTAAATACATCGTTAGATCCTTTTTAAAGGCCATATAATTTGACAGACCTAAGAACTCCTTTAGAGTCAATAAGGCTCATCAGAATCTTGAGTATCCCTGATACAGTGTCCTTATAAGTTGAATACAAGGTAAAAGAATGTTTTAAAAATTGTTATTCTTTTGGGAAAGTGTCTTAGGCTGAGAATTTATATTTCAAGGGTTTATCCCAGACGGTTATTTTAAATACGTTAGGTACCCAAATCCCACTGTAAGAGAGGAGTCCCTGACTCCTTTAGGTACCTCAGACAATCCTAGCCTAAATGCCCTAGTTATAAACCCCTAAAAATGATGGCGCCAATGGTGGCTTTTATGGAAAAGTTGACAACTCTAGATAGCAGCGCTCCAGGGCATTACTTTAATATTATTAGCTACTGGACTTCCACAGCCCTTCCTGATTATTCTGAGTCTCTCCAAGTCAAAAACATAGTTTTGTTTTGTTGTGCAGGATGCATTTGTCAAACCTTCATACCACTCCAACAGTATGCATGACCTATAGATATAAGGCACCTGAACAGACTCAGAAGTGTTTGTGATGGTGGATGAGGTAGCTGCTAGAAACCTCTGCTGGCACATGGTGGAAAGCCTATCTTGTTCCTCCTCCCCCACCCCCCAATAAATAAGTCTGAGATAGCCACCCTACAAAAACAAGTGTGTCTACTCACCCCTTTACCCCACTTAAAAAAAAATGACAAAAGTGCTCATTTATAAATTCTCTCAGCTGCCTGTGTACGTTTGGATGAACGATTGTGACAACAATGCGAACTACCAATAATTCCCAGCTGATTTCACAACCACAATTTCTGCTATTTCAAACTTCAGCTGCAGGATGTCACAAAAGATGGCATTCCAACATTGTTGCCATTTGCCACTGTGTGTCCATGTTACTGGCATCTTCTAGAACCCTGCCATTACCAAAGAACCTTAAAAAAAATCAGTTTGTTTTCTGGTCAGTGGCTATATTAACTTGTATCCAACAAATACATCTTCCACACAGCCCATCTGGTTTATACTGGACAATAATTGACTTTCTATGCTCTGACCTTTCCTGAAGCTCATGGACATGCAATCCACAGAATTAATGGTCCACAGGAAACTACTGAGTATTAAGGGACCCTGTGGATTTTGAAGGGGAAAAAAATGGAAAAAATGCCATTGATGAAAGGATATGTTTAATGTAGAACAAAATGTTTAGTTCTTTGTAACGACTTCCTTAAGCAATAATATGATTTACTGGAATGAACAACCATTTTTATTTGAAGACAAAAAAACCCCCACACCCTAGAAAACTATGTGAGCCAGATATGTAGCACCGTATTTTCCTCAGAGGTAAATAAATGTATGCAATACATAAAAGTGTATAAATGACCAAGGCTATTTATTAAGAATTTCAGATGGAAACAAATTCTAGCAGCAGCAGATTTGAAATGAGCATGAGATTTTTTTTGTAGTCTACATTACTTTTCTGCCTCTACAAAATATTGCATTGTCCAATATATATTTGACTAAACTCTATGTTGTGCTTTGTCTGTGTCAAACACATTCTTTATACGTTTCTGATGGAAAATTATAAAGCCTTTTAATATTTTAGTTATATGAATCACCCTGTCAAGCCGTATTACCTTCAGAAGTTTTCAATTTAAAGCACAACATATGCTGATGTGTCAGTGGTAGGTTTAAAATATTAAAGAGCTCAAAAAACCCTAAAGCACTTCCTCTCTGTACAATATTGGTGAATATAGATCTTTACTATATATTTTAAACATGGAATAGCCTTTTCTTTTTCTTTGCTATATATAATATGTCTTTCAAAATACACTGTCAGTATTTGTATTTGAAAAATACTGTACAAAACACCCCATACTATAATTATTCTGTATAAACTTTATACATTTTATAATATCTATTCTTTTGGTCTATAGTAAACATATAAATTGATTAGATTAACCACAGTATACGACAACACCATGGCCTTCTGAAATTCACCAGTGTTTCTCACATTCGTTTTCAGAAGTCCACTTTGTAACAGAACATATGTTCAAAAGCAGGTAGAGAGAAAACAGGATAAAGTTCAGAACAATCAGTTCAAGACATGCTCAAAATAACATCACTAGAAAAAGTGGGGTTTGCAAAACAGTGACTCTTCTAACTGAATAAAAATGATTTTAAAACAGCAAGATATAGTCCTCAGAAAATATATTACAAAAAGTGGAAAAATGAATAGTTAATTAATCACAAAATGGGACTCCGAGCAATGCAAAATTAAATGAAAACTAAAAGAAAAACTCCTCTAATTTCAACATCAAATCGGATTTGATACTTTTTAATTTTGTTCTTGTATCGACTAATTGTCCTCTCTCTTTCATACACACATTCTGTTCCAGGGATGCTTTCACCATGCTCATAACAATGGGTCTTTTATTTATAAGACATTAAAACTCTTATTAGGTAGGGAAGTCATCCTACGTCCACTAGGAACACCTAGGCAGCATGCGCTAGTGCACAATAGGATTATTGCTTTAGGTACAGACAGTGCAAAATACACACTCTGTATTCTATTAATAGTACTCCTATCTATCTGGCGTTTGTGGAAATAAAAGGAGACTTAGTAGATATAGATAAGTCATAATGGGATCTATAACGAGCAGAGCTAATTCAGTCTAACAGCACTTTAAATCTGAAGACAGCTATCACCAAAACTTAAAATACAACAAAAGCAATCTATAAATTAATATTTCTGTAGTGTTGTACTGAATTATTGTTTGTGCACTTCATTAGCATGTTAACTTTTCTGATTAGACATAATTAAACAATAGCTTGTTACTCTTGAAAACTGAGATCTACCTTTTTTTTAATTGTTATGGTTTATTTTTACTGGGACCTTTGCAAGTAAATGGTGAGGATGAAACTGTTTAGAACAACATAAAAATCCTAATCAGAAGCAGCACTGACCAAAAAAAAAAAAAAAGAGAAGTATACTATGGCAGTTCTTAATAGTCCAGGTAAAAATGTGTCACCCTTTGAAGAGGGGTTCATAAAAACGCTGAGATGTGCACACACACGCATACACAAATGAAAAATAATAATAGTAAGTCAGTTTTGTTTCTGCTTCTGGTAAAGTGCTGATGACAGACAGGTTGGTTTGGGTGTGGTGCTATCAAACAGGAAACACATTGTCCATCTATTAAAATGCCAACCCACAACAAAAAAGAAGGAATAAAAATGGCCATTTACAGGGGCCCGTGCCGAGCTTCATACTTCGCCAGCACGTTCTTGCATTTGCCCAGCTCTTTCCGTAAGTCAGCCACTTCTTGGCGGAGGGCTGAGTTCTCTTTCTCCAGGAAAGAGGCGCGGATGGCAATCTGGTTTTCCTTCAGCCTCCGGGCGTCTCTCGATCGCTTGGCAGCCATATTGTTCTTTCTACGTCTTGCCCAGTATTTGTCATCCTGCTCATTAAGTACATAAAGAAAGAGACAAGATATTAGATTTCAGTAAACTAACAACTCCTTAAGGCACAAGGTTTCACTGTTAACCATGCTGCAGTTTCTCAGCTCCGAAACGACTTTAACTTTGATATTTCACTGGCCTTCGCTGCTTTCATTTGCACATCCCACTGAGCAGTGACAATATCAGTAATTCTTGGGGCAAATACTAAATCTATGTGCAATAGTCTCTCAAACGGGCATACACGTAGGCCTGCCTATTTAGCTAAATGTCTGCACTAAGCTCACATCATGGTATCCTGGTTCTGAAGATCTCCAAAGAATAATTAATAAGCACCCGGCGCCTCACTGGCAGCAGGATACCACTCAACCTGATTACCCCAGTGAGGAGCACAATCAATCTGAAATGGGGACTGTGTATAGGAGTCATTGCCAAGTCAAGGGATTAAGGGCCCCAACCCACTTCCACTGAAGTAACTGGGGATTTCATGGGAGCTAAGGGACAAAACCTGATCCAATGAAAGCAAAGACCAAATCTCCATTGACTTCAATGGAGGAAGATCAGGTCTTAGAGCATATAAATTTGTGAAGCACGTGCCCTGGCCTGGAATGCCCCACCCTGGCTGGGCGTGCTCTCCACTGTGCCGATTGGCTGTCTGAGCCACAGTCTCTTCTCCTCAGCCTCACTTCACTTGCTCTCCACCCTTTCTTACCCACCCCATCAAACTTGCCGCTTCTCCCTTCTTTTGCTTTTTGTTTAGCTTATTACCCCCCTCCTTTAAAAAAAAATTAGTAGTCATGGAACCCTGGCACTCACATGTGGTTTGCCATCACACTGTTCGCTCTGCTTGTATGGTGCATCTCCTTCCCCTACCATTTGTCTGTCTTGTCTAATCAGATTGGAAACTACAGGGCAATGACTATCTTCTACTTTGTATATACAATGCCTAGCACAATGAAGCCCAGTTATCAGTCACTGGCCTCTAAGGCACTACCAAAATACAAGTAATAATAATAGGCCCCTGGAACAGATGTCCTTGGAGAGGCCACCGTGCTGGGTTTGAGACAGGGGGGAATGGGGGTGGACTGCTTTTGCCTCACAGCCGCACATACGCTTTCAGTCATGTGCCTATGCGGAGTGCCTGCCAGCGTTTGTCCCAAAGTGCCTCAGTATGTTTCCTAGGTTAACATGTACTACAAGTATTATTCATAAAACTCGTGTTGCCTTCAGGAATTCAGCCTTGTTGGGCACCAAAGGAGACAAATGACCAATTAATTGTACCGGATTTTGCTCCTCACTTAGCGTGAAACAGACTTCAATGAAATAAGCATTCGGTAGTTTCAGTGTTACTTTGATCTTCCCAAATTGGAAGCACACCTCTGGGTGACTGGCCACATGCTGACAGGGTCCAAAAAATGAACGTCATCCATCTGCAGCACAAGGCCTGTACGCTAATTAAGCCGCACTCAGAATACCGCCTGGCAAGAACAATTTAGGTCAAAATTCTCCTCTCAGATCCACACAGCCCATCTCGGCTCCCATGTTCTGCCTCCCTTCCAAGGGTGGATTCCCCATTGCACACCAACTGGGAGCAGAATAGCGTATCAGTCCTGAGATTTACGCTGAGAGGAGAATACTGTCCTTAGGCTGGACTGAACTTTTCATGTACCCCCTTATGAAATATTTTCTCCCAAATTCCAATGGTTGGAAACAGAAGAGGCAAATATTTTAAACGCTGCAACTGCCCTCCGCCATCAGTCAGCACACTAGGCTTGCTGTACAGAACTGCTGTTCTGCATCTTGTAACACAATAGTGCAAAGCAAGAGGAAAACACTTCCCATTTTGCTTTGGTTGCATTTTATATCCCCATTACATTCACTTTGCACTGGTGTAAGTGACTATATCAAGTGCAGGGCAAGGATGAGTTGGGCCCAGTGTATCAAAATCTCCATTCACCTGTTCTTAGATGGGACCCCCAAAAAGTCCCTTAAAAAAGCCAAAAGCCATGACCCCAAATCTTGGTTTACAATTTCCCATCTCATTCCTCTCCACAAAAATCAGCTTTAAACAATCTATTAGTGTGCCATCTAGACCTCATGCATCTTTATTTTAACAAGCTGCAATGGCAAATCCCTTAATCCAGCCTGAGAGAGGCCAGGCTGGCATTTCAGAAACACGTGCAGTCCAGAGACAATTGACTGGCCTAATCGGTTTACCCTTCCCTTCCCAACAGCCAATCCTCACGCCAGGACAGAAAGAGTGCTTGGGTCAAGCACTCAGTTAACAGCCAAGGGCAACCAAATGTGATGATCTTAGACGGGAACCAGGACCCTGAGTCCCCATTCAATCACACACTGAAAACACAAAGCCTCCATGCATGGAGGATACTACGTTTTCAGTTGTTGATATGAAATACTCCAAGAGCATCTTGGCTGACAATTTTCTTTTCTTCCTCCATATACTATAAATATAACCTGGCACATAACGATTCTTTGGAGATAACACAATAACAATTGACACTCTGGGTCAAATTCCCACTTTCCTTACACCTGGTAACCCTTCTGATTTTGAGCACCTTTTACATAGATAGGCCCCCTCAGCCCAAAGATGAGTGATCTCAGTGGAGTTTTAAGGGTGTCCCCACAAGCAAAATTTGGCGTAGTAATCACATGTTATCAGGAAATATGTATAAAGGAAGGCTGGAGATACTATGGAGAAAGACAGTAACAAATCATTTGGTTACCACTTGACATGTGACTTATTTTTTTTTACACTTTAACTATAACACCTGCACCTGACACCACTTTCCTGAGGGATAAAAATAGTAAATGATGACAGACTTGTCCTCTACTGCCATCAGCCTACTGTAAACACAGACCAGTTCTCTGTCTACATGGGGCCTTATCCAAAGCCCACTGCAGTCATTGCAAAGATTTCCATTAACGTCAGTTGGCTAAGGATCTGTCTCGGGGAAACAGCAGCAGCTCAATGCCTTGCAATGCTGCACGGCGCTATGTCCTCACGGAAGCTGCATTATACAAATAGCATTTTCCATGTAAAAGACAACTTGCCCAGGTCTTCAGTAAAGCATGTCCCCTGATCATGCTACTGGGGTCCCTTCTTTCTGGTATTGTATTTGTGGCTCAGAGATGGGAGGCAGGTGGTGGGTTTTATTTTATTTTTTTTCAATGTTATCTTTCCCTACATAGAACTACATTTAAAATTCACTTTTGAAACCCTGACAATACGGGTCGTTAATGGGATTATTCTCACCACAGATATTCAATCAGATTGCATTGCACCATTCCAATCACATTCATGAGACCGTTTTCTGTTTTTAACAGGGCTGTTGTCAAGTCCTTTTTAAAGTTAGTTTTTAATTTGCTCTGTGATAGTCTTAGATGCTTGAAAACGCTTCTATCCCTGCTGGTATCGGTCTGTGACTTTTGGAAACCTTCACAAAAAAGAGATGAAATTATCACGCCTTGTCTGTGTGCTAGCGTCATCATCACTGACGTGAGGATGTTCTGAGAACAGGATTCTTAAATACTGCTGAAGTCAGCACAATAAGTACACAAATACTGTGATAGTGTAGGTCCTACCTAAATAGCCAATTCTAAAAAAAAAGCCTCAAGCCCCTGAAGAGTATTATATATTTTAAACTATACATTTGTGTGTGTGTGTGTGTGTGTGTGTGTGTGTGTGTGTGTGTGTGTGTATATATATATATATATA